AATGGACATAAAATAACTATATATTAATATGTCATTTGACTTGAAGAGTCAAATAATTCTAGAGATAATCTTGGCAACTATTAAAGTTAATCATGGCATCATGGCAATGATCATTTATTAAGAAGGACGATTATGGCGAACAACTATAGCGTCGAATAGCCTTTTTCTCTTTACTTTAATAAAAGAGAACATTCAGGTTAATATACTTTTGAATTCTTTTTAATTATTTTTATTGATCATCGAATGATCTAATCTTTAATTTACTAATTCTTCATAATCAATATTTTTTTAAATCTTTCCTTTTCTTTTAGTTCCAAGTTCTGTTTATTTAATTAGATCAAGATATAAATTACTTATTGAAGAATGATATCCAATTTTAAAAATACAACTATAACTATACTAGCAACAACAATAAAAATAATAACGAATAATAAAAGGTAAGAAATAATATAAATATAATTTTGATTTTTTTAATTATTTTTTTTTAATGTCGGAGAATGGAATAATTGATGATAAATAAAATAAATTGGACGAATAAGTCTTTACCAGTGAATGGTTTTAGGTTTGATGCCAAAACTTGTCATATATTTTATTTTAATAGTTATACTATATATATTATATATATTTCAATAAATAGACAAATAATTCTTTTTTTTTCAGAAAAATAAAAGTTGTTATTATAACTATGGTCATATTTCAGAACGATCAGTAATGTAGGTTCATTATACATGACGCGTTGTTAGCTTTTGTGACCTATTCAGACAATGGAAATTCTATTTCATCTATTTTTTTTGCCAACTCTTTGATAAGAAGGTCTAAATCACATTCGTGAGCTTCCACCTTGTTTGTTCTCTGGTGATGATAATTCACGGAAGAATTGAATTCTAAATTGTCTACTGGAACTTGACATTACACCATATGTAATTTAACTTTGAGGATTACGATTCATTACTTTGGAATCGAACTATTTTTTCTTAACTTCTGCTTGATCTTCCAACTGGAAATGCATATCGTACAAAACATGTACCATATTCTTTTCCAGAGTTAGATAAATCAGAATAGAATGAATCAGAACCACTTGGATTGAAATCAGTCTCTTCTTTGGTATCTTCCGCCATTATAATAATACATTGTTCCATTTTGAGAAATTCGAAGAGTCGTATATATTAGTGTAATTTCAGCACGTGCATCTTCAACCAAGGAGTATCAAGCATGATTATATGAGAATAGTTTTCCACGTGTGTTTTGGAGGAAGAAACACTTTCATGATCTATAACCATTACCTAAGCAGGTGCCGTAACATTTTCTCCAACGGTAATTGGTAACTTACCTCAGAAAAAGGTTTCTCACAAATCTCTTCGAAACGCATAGATCCTTTATATTCTGTGATTATTGGTTTAATAATATTTCCTCCGAGTTTTGGAAAAGTACCATAGAATTTTACTTAAAGAAAGATAACATTCCACATTCTCTTCGTCGACTTTACTAAGGATGGAATAACATCCATTGTGTTGATATATCATTTTGATATATATCCATCAGAAAAAAAATAGATTAATTGTAAATGATCATAATCAATTAGTCTTTCGGGCGAATTACTAGACTAGCCAATCCAAAGCTTATATGCTAGGCTCGCGCTCATGACACTTGGCGTTTGGGTTAATCAATACTGTACACGAATTTCTCACCATCTTTGCTAAGCATGGAGACGTTGACATATTTACCTTATACAGATCTCCCCGGCAGTATTCACATATTTATCCTCGCCATTCAATTGTGTTTGGGAGATTCTGATAGATTTAGCTTGGATACGCATCATGTTTTGGTATGGTATTTATTTATCTATATCATCTGAATATCTTTCTCATTCAAACTTATTTGTTTTGCTTTCGAGTTACAAAGAATAAAAAAACAGCCATGTATGTCGAAATTTTATATACCTCTCTGGCAAGTTTGACTCTTTGATAGAATTGAAAAAACCATGCATTCCAATACTATTATTTTTTAGACCTTATATGCATTTTTATATTGTTTTAAGCTTCCGATGATGAGATTAAATAATTATTTGATGTCACCACTGACTTGTTAAATTGATTTTACATTCGAAAGTATTTAATAAAATTGAATAATTACCAATCTTCCAGCTGAGATCAAAGTTGGAAACTTATAGTATATATTAAAGGAATAAACTAGGGGTTTTTAACTTATTATTATGTTGTTAGAGAGTAAATAAAACAGGTTTTTTGATTATACAAATGAATTGGTAACTGGTAACACGTAATTTTATAATTTAAGGTTATCCATCTTAATTTTAGTTGAAGAAGGAAGAGAGCCATGAATTCATGTTTTTACTTAACAATAAGCAATCAAATAATGAAAGAATTAACCAATATTTGTTTTGCAAAATAATTATATATTAAATTTAAGAAGCGTCAAAAACATCAGAGATAAAGCAACAAAACTATTGAAGATGAGAGCCATTGAAAGGGGGAGGCGAATATTGAACAAGAAAAATTGCTTTTAAGCAATTTGTAAATACAACTCAATATGCGACATGGAATTTACTGATATTAAAATTATCTCAGAATGCAAATGTTTAAAATTCTGATATTCCTTGGGTACAAAGGCTAATCTGATATGATTACCTAAAGATATGATGATGCGATCAAATTTCAGAGGGTTTTGTTGCTCTGAATTTTATTAGATTGCGTTGTTCTCAAGAGACTACTAAAGTCTCTCATTTATCTGAAGCCTCTAACTTGTGAGTAATGTGGATAAATTCTACAAAGGAAAGAGCTTACATGTTCGTAGAAGGAGAATCTTATTAAATCTGACACCTAAGCTCAATATGTCAGATTTAACATTATTCATTTTGTTCTAGAGACTTGGATCTCGTGCAACTTTTTCAAACTTGATTACTTGAAGTTTCCTTTCCTTTGCATGGCCTTAGTATTAATATCATTATTACTTGGGTGATGCACTTTATTTATTTTATTATTTTTATCCATAAAACATTAAACTAAGCCACTATGTATATATAACCTGCATGAATTATTAAAACGGGGGATTTGCGTAGAATATAACAGATAAACAAACAAATATGTACGCCAATTTTTGTCGTAATACGGATTTACTACTTTCACAACGTTACACATAATATATTTTCAAGAAAAAAAAATTCCAACAGGGATGGAAAGATGGGAATTCCACCGAAAAAAATTAAAAGTATCTTTAGGCTATTATAACAGATATTCTGTCAATTATAAACTTTAAAATTGGCATTTTTCTTCGAAAAAGATTGCAATGATCGTTTTTTATTAAAACGGTTTTCAAAGGAAAACGTCATATTGAAATACCTACAATTTGGGCCTTTAAACTATTTGTACTATATGACAAAAAATCTAATTCAGTTGGTTGTTAGAATGTCTCTAGCTTTTTAATATAACGGAGAGAATTTATCGAAAAATTATTTGTTGTAGAGTTCTATTTCTTTTTAGTACATGTATTAGTAATAGTAATTAATATGTTCGCGAAAATAATACGAAAATCATTTCTAAATATGGACAATCCAATTGAAGCATATAAAACGAGTTAACATCAGAACAACTTTTATTTAATACACAAAGCCTTTTGTTGGTATTTTTTGTTGTTTAAATCTGAAGTTGCAAGTGTCAAACAACGAATTATTAAAAACGATTCTTTTATTTTATTTTATTTTAGAACGTGTAAACAGTGTAAAAGCACATCACGTTAAAGATCCCAAGGTTGTTTTTTTTTTCTCAATAAAATTCGATTCAACCGAATCTCTACCAAGCCAACCCAAACTCAAATTTCTATTAGATATCGGATTGCATGCAAAAAGTTTCTTAATTTATAATTTTAATAGCCATACAAGACATGTTTTTTATTTATCTTCCTGGAAGGTACACATTAGATTGAGTATGAATTTCATTTGCAAGTTTAAGAAATATATTAGAGCCAACACCTGATTAGAGATGGGCAAATGTGCGTATAGTTGAACACTATATGATACTATACGTATAGTGCGTATAGTACGTATAGTAGTGTTGAAATTTGATTGGATGATTTTCAAAATGTAATAAGAAAAAAAAAAATTATTTGGCCATTACAATTAAATTTTATTTAATTTATTCAACTTACACTTTTTTATCTTTTTATACTAAAGATTTGATTTATATATTTTAATTGAATTATTAATTATATTAAATGAATTAAATATCATAAAAATCAAAACTTTTTCACTTTGATTCTTCAATAAAATTTTCATGTGTTTCATCAGCTTCTTCGATGGCATTTTCATAAATGTCTCAATTTATCTGTATACTAATATTTGAAATATCAAAGCATTCTCCAAAATAATTTCTTTTAGTATGAATTGTGGCATTTGGACAAAGGCGTAAATGGTTTTCACATCTAGAAATAACTTGAAAATAACTCTACACGGAAGGTTCAAATTATGTTTAAGGAATACATTTAATTAGGACAAATTAAAAGTTCTAGAAAATCAGAGAACTAGATGATTGAACTTTTAACATGTATAAACAACGTTGTAATTTTCTTAACTTCATGTATTATCATATACCAATATAATATGTAACATTCTCATTCCTTTTATTTTAATTAAGTAATAAAGGATAAATTATAATATTACTTTGGTTGCAAAAAGTTCAAGGTAAATTATATTTTCATCATTCAACACATGACAATTGAAATAAGTTGTGAATGTTACGGATGGACCATTATTACTTGGTGTTAAAGTTGTAAATATCAAACTTTTGTTTGGCATTGATTTATATATATTTGGATCATATTTAGTGACTATATGTGTGTGTTTCCATTATTATCTTGTGTATACTTTGTTGCAGCAATTTTATTCAATTGTAATTGTCCATCAATGGTCACTGGAGTTCGTTCATGTATCAAATGAATTTGTATTTATTGAATAAACTATGGATCCCTAAGCTGTAAGACTAGCTGACATGTCAAACGAAGCTCAACAAAAAAAGGGGAGCAACCAAGTTTCCAGATATATTAATTATTGTAAAAATAAAAAAACTTTGACAAAATATGAAATTCATGTTTAGCAAAATTCTGCGGGTTTTATGTATATGATAAATCCTTTGAATCAATCAATAATATTAAGACACTTTTCCGTTTTAGATAATAGTTATTTATTTTAAAGGGTGATGTCTTTCCGTTTTATCGCATAAAAAATAATAATGTCAAACCTAATTATATATCACCAACAACAAATCAAGGCCAATAACCAATGCAGCCAAATTGATTATTATTATAAAATTATTATTTTATAAACAGAAAAACCATTACATCCTAAAGCAGAGACTCTATATGCATATCCAACGCCACTAAGTCTTAAACATTTATAAATTGATCAATTAGATTCTAATTCTTCGCTCGCATGCATTAGACTATTTTCCAGATGAACTAGTATTTGTTCTACGTCTATTAGAACCTGAGGATCATAGAATGCTATATGTCATTGATCCATGCAACAGTCGCCATCATCACCATTAGAAAAATAAATGATTGATTTAATAATATTCAAGTGGTCAAATCATAAACAATAACCAAAATGATGATAATAATGATGATGAAAATAACTTATTTGAAGCAATATGAATATAGTAGAGCAAAAGCAAAAATCTATTATATTAACATCAGCCCGTAAAAATACTGGACAAGGTGTTGATATTGTTACAAGTGATGGGGACGATTAAAAGTTCAAGGATTTTTGGTAAGTCAAAAGTACGTTATTCATTTATTTCAACTGATGGGGGTGAAATGATTGATATCAGTGATACTATTGAAGACATTCTGGGTGATGTTGATGTGCTTGTGGTAGAGGAGGAGGTTAATGAAAATTCAATAAAATAATAACATTAAAATCAAAAAGAAGACCCAAATTCATCATCAGCTTTTAAAATATAGAAAGAGTACTGTTCAAGATGTAGATATTTTGGTAAAGATTGTTGACCGGACTTAAAAAATAATGATAATGATGAGTAATTGAAAGTAAAGCTAAATCCATCGTCTAGGTTGTTGAGCAAATAAAACATAAATTTAAATCAAAATTCAAATTCAATAACAAGATATAGTAGGTTATTTAATGTACAAACCTAATAAAACAAATCATTTCAACAAAAAGTATATCCTCTTCTAATTCATCATCAACCAACAACAATCTACAAAAAAAAAAAAAAAAAATCAAATGACATTATGTGTATTTCGGTTTGAAAGAATTGTTAATACTTGTGAGATCAGGTATTAATATGTCAGGAAGAGTGGATGGCATTCAAAGGAAGAATCATAAAAAGATATTTATATATATTTAATTTACTATTTTTAGGCTTTTTATTAATTTTTGCGTTAGATTTTTCTTGTTATTTCTAGATCTTGTGTATAAATATTTTTGAATTGGCATTTTTAATTTCACAAACAAAAGAATGCTATTTATGAATGAGATAAAAAAAAGTTTCTTATTGTCATGTTACCAATTTTGTGAACAAAATTCCTTTTCCGGGGCCTGATTTTTATAGTAATAGGGTATATCTGGATCATACATTTCCCTTGTCATTGAACTTGATCACCCAATTGAGTTACTCTTAGAAACTCGCCCGAAAATAATTTTAATTTTTAATTCTTATTCAATCAAAATAGATATAATGATTAATGTAGTGCAGTTGAGGTAGGAAAATTTCTAATTTTCGATTTCGCACATCAGATCTTGTGAGTTTTCTAATTTTAATAACGATCTCACCTCATTCCTCATTTTAAATTCAAATTTAAAAATTTTCTCTTATACTGTATCTTGTCTTCTGATGATGGATTTAATCTCTTTTGTATTCTTTTTCTGTAATTTGAAAACTTGAATAATTTCTCTTCTACATTACTATTAACAAAAATAAAAATAATTGTTAAAATGATAATTTTACAATCAAGAAATCTTCATTCCGGATCCTTTATTTTGTCAGGTAGTGCTTATCTCCTTAGCTCCTTCATTTTTTATATTAATATCCAAATTAAATTTTCAAATAAGCAGGCATTGTATCACTTAAATACCCCAACTCATTACACCACGTGGCCAAATTTCCTTTGATGGAATAAAATTTAAGAGGACTTTAAAGTACTCATACCATACTATTTAAATAAACTAGAGTGATGATGAGTTGCAATGCATTGCAACCACCACCGCCATTCTTATGATAAACACTTATCCTCGATCCTCAGCCACTCCTTGATTTTCATTTCGCTTTTGATACTTTGAAGACATTTTTAATTTGAAAAAAAAAATTTTAAAACATGTTAAACCAAATAATATTAATAATATTATTATTGGCACTTGGTGTTGCACAAGATTTTTTTTGACAGCATAGTGGAAATTTGAAAGGTTACACTATTTTTTATATTGTGCAATGTAACTTTACAATACTGGCAAACATTCTGGCAATAAAAAGTAAGTGATGAACTGGATTTGAATCAGATCTGAACTTGACCTCCAATTTAGAGAGGCAACAACTATATACTGGTGAAGTTTTAGGAGCAATGGGTTCTATATAAAATTTTGTGCAATGACAAACTTCCACAATGCAAATTGGTTTTTTTTTCTTGGAAAAACAATCTTATTTTTTGACAGACAAAAAATGGTTCTCCTAAAGAAGAAGTGCTAATAACTAACCAGTTGTGCTATTTTTTACTTGCATTGATATGTCTTTTAGTTTATAAATATTTTAATTGGAATTGAAACATGGAGCAGATCTTTCTGGATAATTATAAGATTCCCACCAATTAGTAAACAAATGATTGGTACTTCACTTTTCGTAATTGTTATTAATGCTATTATTATTATAATTAATTACAAGATGTCAAGGCAGTATGACTGATTGTTGCAGAAGAAACAATTCAATATGAAACAATTCAAGTATGCAATGTTTGATTATCGGAAATTAGCAGATGCTCATGTACATAAGGCTAAATCTGACTTGCACCCTACCGATGATACAACTATGCAATAGAATTCAGGGGTAGCATGGCCCTGGAGTTTACTGAGACTGCCAAGGACGCTTTCACTAATCTTTTTTCACAGCACCAGACCAAAAAAGGCTGCTGGCATGCTGGTGAAAAAGTCACCTGCATCGATCCTACCTCTAGGGTAAGGATGGCTATGCAACCAAGTCATGTTTTGAAGAGTTGTGATATTGGGTATGCATAAACATCTAGATCCATCAATACAACAAGAATCAGTAACTTGTTCCAAGCACATGAGATTGCAATTCAGAGCCAGGTTGGTGGCCCTGAAATCACATTTAGTTCTAATGTTAGGAGGAAGGCTTTAAATAAAATGGTTCAAATTTTTTTTTGGTATGTTATATATATATTAGTTACTTTCCCAAATTTTCTGTTTCTTCAATTTTTATTTGACCAATTGAACTTGATATTTTTTTAAATGGGCTCTTTGCCTATACAACTCAACCTAGGTTAATAAAAGAGTGTAACTCAATCAGAGCATGTTCTTATAAGTATAAAGCTATAAAATAAATTTTGTTTGATATGTTATGTAAAAATTAATCATTTTCACAAATTTTCTGTCTCTTTAATTTTTGTTTGACCAAATGAAATTGTATTTAAAATCCAATACAACCACCCAGGTTGCAACCTCCCGAGTTGGAGTATTTTGAATCAGTTGCAGACACCAACTTTGTTCTATAGATTGAGATAACACAAAGCAATCATCACACAAGTACCAGCTATCAGTGATCAATGCCAAGCATGGTCTGAGAGAAAGATAAGG